CCAGTTGTGTTCATAAAATTATAAAATGAAAGTCCAGTAGTTGGCAGTCACGTTACATAAATGTTCTCCCTTCTATAAATACCACTTAATGTTAGTTTCATTTTCAGAAACCACCCAACCTTGGCCATGTCCACTTCTTCTTTTCCAACCTCTGCAGTAGTTTTTGCCCTGATCACCCTGCCTTTCTGTGCTCCGGATACTTTTAAAGCTGCAGTATATGAACATGCAGTCATTTTGCCAAGTGAAACAGAAATACCTGTTTCTCAGGATGATGCCTTGATCCTCATGAACAAGAATATAGATATTCTGGAGACAGCAATTAAGCAAGCAGCTGGTCAGGTATTCTTTTATTTCTGCAAATTACAATTTTGGGGAGGGACAAGGGAGTTGGAATAAGATTGGTGGTTGAATTGTCAATTTTGCACACAGAAAAACAATTTTGATTTGATTGGTTCTGAACAGGGTGCTCAAATCATTGTGACTCCAGAAGATGCACTTTATGGATGGAAATTTACCAGGGAAAGCATTTTCCCTTATCTTGAGGATATCCCAGACCCTAAGGTGAACTGGATTCCATGTCAGGACCCCCAGAGGTATTCAGCTATCCTAGTTGTTTGTACTAAAGTGCTGTAATTTCTAAAGCATACATGTTCACCAAAGGAAAATTATTTTATCATATTATGGTATGTATTATGTTTATATTTGGACATTTGTCAGGTTTTGAAAAATTACACTTAGAGGAAAATATTCCAAGCTCTCCATTGAAGGGACCACATTGGACATTCATAGAGTTTATCTGTCCTATCTTTTCCTAGGTAGAGAAGTCTTCCCATGGACTTTCTAGTGAGTCATCAGACCTTCTGCTTTGGAACCGCATTTCCCTGTGCTCATAGAGCTAATCTCCCTGGAAAGAGGTTACTTAGAAACCTTTCAATGTAAAATATTTAATATATATGTTTATATTGAATATATAAATCCTCTGTCTAGCATGATGAGAAGATGATTCATTTAGACACAGATTGCACACACACTCATTCTTTGCTCTTTCACAACTCATTTCCTCTTTCTCTCT